CAGATACAGACTGGAGGAGGACAAAGAGACAGATTAAATATACTTCTCAGTTTTGCTGCGTTCGTCAGACTCTCTGCTCACAGTATTTGTTGTTGAGAATTTCTTAAGTGTTTGGAATTTTGATTGGGAAACTTTCTGCCAAATTCCCTCGTTCGCCTCCCGTGTTGGAAAATCCAAATGAAGGTTTTAAACTGGGATTTTCAGTTTCCGCACAAAACCTTCGCGTTCGTACGTCAGCGTGTCTTTCACCAAAACATCAACATCTCCGCCGTTCGCCGCCGTGAAAGTTTCCGAGACAACTTCAGACCTCGGCCGGGACGTTCGGAAACAAAACTGCTCCGTGTTTTGCGGAGTCGTTGCTGTTCTAAACAAGAAACGATCCAAAAGAGAGAGAGAGAGAAAAAAAAAAAAGTGAATCAAATGAACTTTAAAAGAGACAAAGATACAAACTGAAGGGAGGGGAGAGGAATAAGAGGAATGGAGAGAGAGAGCGAATAAGAGGGAGGGAAAAGGAGATGAATAGGAGGGAGAGAGAGAAATAGGAGGGAGGGAGGAGGGAGGGAGAGAAAGAGAGGAATGGCAGGGAGAAAGAGGAATAGGAGGGAGGGAGAGGAATAGAAGGGACAGAGAGAGAGAAAGAGAGAGAGAAATCAGAGGGAGAGAGAGGGGAGTAGGAGAAAGAGAGAGAGGAATAGGAAGAATGGAGAGAGAGAGAGAAACATTTAAATAATATATAATAATATAATAGTTAGAAACCAAGTGTCCTCTCTGAGTCTTCTTAAACTGGCTTCAGATGTGTCCTGGTTTGATCCAAGTTTAATCCTGTTCTAGTCCTGCTTTAGTCTTGATTTAGTCTTGATTTAGTCCTGCTTTAGTCCTGTTTTAGTCCTGTTTTAGTCCTGTCCTGTCTTTAGTCCTGCTTTAGTCCTGCTTTAGTCCTGTTTTAGTCCTGTTTAGTCTGCCTTTTAGTCCTGTTTAGTCCTGCTTTAGTCCTGCTTTAGTCCTGTTTTAGTCCTGTTTTAGTCCTGTTTTAGTCTTGTTTTAGTGTTTTAGTCCTGTTTTAGTCCTTTAGTCCTGTTTTAGTCCTGCTTTAGTCCTTTTAGTCCTTTTAGTCCTGTTTTTAGTCCTGTTTTAGTCCTGTTTTAGTCCTGTTTTAGTCCTGCTTTAGTCCTGTTTTAGTCCTGTTTTAGTCCTGTTTTACTTTTTAGTCCTGCTTTAGTCCTGTTTAGTCTGTTTAGTCCTTGTTTTAGTCCTGCTTAGTCCTGTTTTAGTCTGCTTTAGTCCTGCTTTAGTCCTGCTTTTAGTCCTGCTTTTAGTCCTGTTTTTAGTCCTGTTTTAGTCCTGCTGTTTAGTCCTGCTTTAGTCTGGCTTTAGTCCTGGTTTTAGTCCTGCTTTAGTCCTGTTTTAGTCTGGTTTTAGTCCTGCTTTTAGTCCTGTTTTAGTCCTGTTTTAGTCCTGCTTTTAGTCCTGGTTTAGTCCTGCTTTAGTCCTGTTTTCTTTTAGTCCTTGTTTTAGTCCTGTTTAGTCCTGCTTTAGTCCTGTTTTAGTCCTGGTTTAGTCCTGTTTTAGTCCTGCTTTTAGTCCTCCTGTTTTTAGTCCTGCTTTAGTCCTGTTTTAGTCTTGTTTTAGTCCTGTTTTAGTCCTGTTTAGTCCTGTTTTAGTCCTTGTTTAGTCAGTCCTGCTTTTAGTCCTGTTTTAGTCCTGCTTTTAGTCCTGGTTTAGTCCTGTTTTAGTCCTGCTTTTAGTCCTGTTTTAGTCTGTTTTAGTCCTGTCTTTTTTAGTCCTGTTTTAGTCCTGCTTTTAGTCCTGTTTTAGTCCTTTTTAGTTTTAGTCCTGTTTTAGTCCTGTTTTACCTGTTTTACCTGCTTTAGTCCTGTTTTAGTCCTGGTTTTTAGTCCTGTTTTAGTCCTGCTTTTAGTCCTGTTTTAGTCTTGTTTTAGTCCCTGCTTTAGTCCTGTTTTTTTTTTTAGTCTTGTTTTAGTCCTGCTTTAGTCCTGCTTTAGTCTCGTTTTAGTCTTGTTTTAGTCCTTTAGCCTGTTTAGTCCTGCTTTAGTCCTGGTTTAGTCCTGTTTTAGTCCTGCTTTTAGTCCTGTTTTAGTCTTGTTTTAGTCCTGCTTAGTCCTGCTTTAGTCCTGTTTTAGTCCTGTTTAGTCCTGCTTTAGTCCTGTTTTTAGTCTGTTTTAGTCCTGCTTTAGTCCTGTTTAGTCCTGCTTTTAGTCCTGTTTTAGTTCCTGCTTTAGTCCTGTTTTAGTCTTTTTGTTTTAGTCCTGCTTTTAGTCCTGTTTTAGTCCTGTTTTAGTCCTTTAGTCCTGTTTTAGTCCTGTTTTCCTGCCTTTAGTCCTGTTTTAGTCCTTTAGTCCTTTTAGTCCTGTTTTAGTCCTGTTTTTAGTCTTGTTTTAGTCCTGCTTTAGTCCTGTTTAGTCTTTTTACTCCTGCTTTAGTCCTGTTTTAGTCCTGCTTTAGTTGTTTTACTCCTGTTTTAGTCTGTTTTAGTCTTTTACTCCTGCTTTAGTCCTGTTTTAGTCCTGCTTTAGTCCTGTTTTAGTCCTGCTTTAGTCCTGTTTTAGTCCTGCTTTAGTCCTGCTTTAGTCGCTGGTTTCTTGTTTGTTGCGTGTCGGAGCACCTCTGTCCTGGGCCAGCCTGAGTTGACCCTGTGTTGTTCTGTTTCTCCTCAGGCTCTGATCCAGCTGCCTGTCTACATCTCTCAGTGCGAGGAGGTCCGAGTGTTCTTTGAGACCAGACCCGAGGACCTCAACCCCCCCAAAGAGTAAGACACACACACAAACTATACATACACGTACACTGAACAACTCTGGAAAAGTTTACCAGCTTTATAAACGCGTGTGACCTGTTGCCAAGGACTACAATTCTTCAACATTTTTATTTACTTCCAATAGACCTGGCAAAGTTCGCAAAACAAATTAAAGGCGCACCTGATTTTACAGTCTTTAAAAACATGGAAAACAGACCAAATTCATTTTAGATGGTTTGCAGTGGTCCAAAATAATACTTCTTTTACATTATGTGTTCTGATTCTTTTAATTACCGTATTTTTTGGACTATAAGGCGCATTTAAAATCTGCCTTATGTATTAATTGTTGTGCTTACTGACCTTGAACCGATTTTATGTGGTACACGGCGCTCAAAAATCTGTGAAAATGTTTTAGTACAACTTTGGTAAACTACGAAGACGTACCACTTGATGGATTGTCGGAGCATTAAGGCTACTGTAGTCAGAACCCTCGCGGAGTAAAGGGCGAAGTATAGTTCTGTGTCGACTCAGCGCACACTGCCGCCGTTGCCTTGTTGCTTTTGACACAGAAAGAACACATATATTCCATAGAGTTGTGTCCTTTAGTCCGACAAAAGTTGGCCGCATCAGCGCACAAGGAGCGAGCTGTTTTTCAAAGCTTACAGTTTATGCAAATGAGCCATGTGGTTTTAAGTTTTGTTTCTGTAAAACGTAAACAAACGTGCGCAAAGCTGCATTAAACACATTATTACTCATTTCATTTCATTCATTTTCATTTATTTATTTGTTTGAGCCAGGTACAACAAAATTCAAAAACGATAACAAAAATAATGATATGTACATGAACATATTTGGGACCTGGTGCTCAAAAGGAGTAGGATGAAGTAAAAAAAAAACTTATAGAGTTCTACCCCAATTGTTTTACATAATCACATGGTTCACACTTTTTTTTTTTTTTATTATAATTTTTTTTTATATCACCTTTGGAGTGTTTACTTGTCATTATGCAGAAATATACACACATATATACAAAAACATATCCACACGTACATAAATACATATACATGTACACATATATGGATATTTGAGTCGCCCTTGTAGGAAATAAAAAATAAACTTAAATTATCTACCCACATTCATATTCATAAACCACATGTAACAATAACCAAAATATAATATCGTATCAAGTCTCTTTGCTTAAATGAAGAGTTATGGTGCAGCAATAGTTAAAAAAAGACAAAGGGAACTACATAGACCATGATCCTTTGCTCAGTCAGGGCAAACTACAAGTACAAATAACAGTTCTAAGCACTTTTAAGTCTTTGTTCTTTGGATTAAGTCTTGTCAAGGCATTTTAAAAGGAAAAGGTTTATATTAACATAACAGAAAAGTTCATATTAATGTTAAAAGTTGTTACCCTCCACAAAATATCACAATAAATATCGTACCGTGAGATGTATATCGTGAAAATATCGTACTGAGAGATTTGGATTTTGTTACATTCCTAATCGTGAGACTCCAGTACACACCGGGATGAGTTTAGAAGTGTTTTTTACAACTCTCAGACACCAGAGAGGAGTTCTGCTGTCACTTTAACAATCACCAACATGCTAATACACACTTCCAGATTAGTAGCAGACAGCGGACATATCTTGACTTTTATATATATGCAAAAAAAATGTACAAAAACACATGGGAAAATCCTGTACAGGGTCTTTAAATAAATCTTTTGCTTACTGAGCCAAAGGTTGACCCCTGCTGTGTCACTACCATCTGTGGGAAGTTCATGTTTCAATAAAACTTTATGTAGCCTAACATATTTTATAACGATTTGCTTTCAATTCAAACAGAAGTCAATTTAAAACTTTATCATTTAAATAATTGATAATTGGTATAATAATTTAAAAAGAAATCATCCGGCTGTCCAGCTTCTTAAAGGAACTGCACTCTTACTGTTAAAATAAATAAAAGTCATAATCAGAGTACAAATTATGAGTAACTGTATTCAGTTACAGTTACTGTTTCAATGAGTGGTAATTGGATTACAGTTACTTTGTTGAAATAAATGGATTACACTGCGGTATTTTCCTGTTTTCACATTTGGGGCTAAATCCCTTTTTTTTTTTTTCTCAGTAATTCCACTCATTGCCGGACACTAAACCAGGTCTAAACCAGGTCTAAAACAGGATTTAGCAGGACTAAAACCAGGTCTAAAACCAAGTGTAAACTAGGTCTAAACCAGGACTAAACCAGGTCTAAACCAGGTCTAAAACCAGGTCTAAAGCCAGGTCTAAAACCAGGTCTAAATCCAAGTCTAAAACCAGTTTAAAACAGGTCTAAAACAGGATTTAGCAGGACTAAAACCAGGTCTAAAATCAGATCTAAAACCAAGTCTAAACCAGGTCTAAAACCAGGTCTAAAACCAGGTCAAAAACTAGGTCTAAACTAGATCTAAACCAGGACTAAACCAGGTCTAAAACAGGATTTAACAGGACTAAACCATGCTGTGTGGACCGTGTCTCCTCCTCTTCTATCAATAATATTTTTAAAGACTCGGCCTTTTCATTTTCTTTTATCAGACAAAACTTCTTCTTTCTTAGTCTTTGTTACTCTACAGCAAATCAAGTAATCCAAAGTATTCAGATTACGTTACTCACTTTAAGTAACTTAATGGATTCCGTTACAAACTACATTTTGGGGTATGTAATCTGTAATCTGTAGGGGAATACATTTTAAAAGTAACCTTCCCAACACTGATAAAAGTACTACAAATGTGACTTGGAACCTGTGTTACCAGTGTCTAAAATTGCAGATACAGGACACAATCTGCAGAATTCAGTCACTTTTAAGGTCAAACCAACTCGATTTCAGCTTGAAACTGGCAACCAAATGAGAGTCTTGTGAGGTTCATTTTGCTCTGACTGGATAATCACTTTCAGACACCAAATTATACCAAAATTATACCAAAATTAACCAAAACACTAAATTATAAGACCATATTTACCTAGGTTGCGGGGGCGGCAGTCTGTCAAACTTTCCTCTCTCCAGACATTTTTCGTTCAAGTCATTTTTAAATTGGACATTTTATCCGGCAAAACTTTTCTTTTTTTTAAACTGACATTTCTTTAGTTTGACATTATTAGGTATCAGAAAGAACTATTAGTGCATTTTCAGTCATTTGAATTGGCCTCTGATGTATAACCTCATGTGCATTTGTGCGTTATTGCTCGCTGATGTGTGTTTCTCCTCGAGCCCTACACAAAAGCATACATTTGTCATTGTTCCGTGGGCTGATGTCATGTTACGTCCTGCCGCCGGCCCATAATACCCGCTCATTACAGCCTCTAATGGACGTGATCTCACTGCCCCGGGCTGCTTCCTGTTGCCGCGGAAACACACTTAACAAGTCCCCGCTTTGCTGACTGTGCATTTTAAACATGTTGCTGCATCGTGAGCTGCAGACAGCTGACAGTGCATTGTGTTTTAAGCTTTAAGACCTAAGACCCAGATCCAGTCGTGTTGCCTTGCTCTGTTCACACTTGTATCCCGGTGTGTGTTTGAGCAAATATTGTCCAGACAGCACGCATATGTTGTTGAAACATTGTTTAAACAGCTCTTGAGGTCAGAATAAGTCAGCTGTGTACTGTCTGAAATGATTTGTAAAGTGTTTTAGTGTCAAGAGGTTCACTATTGAAGAAAGTTGTATATATATAAACTCATCTTGGTGAATAATTAGGATGCTCTGAATGTAGAAAGTAAACCGCGCTGTGAGGAGAAACAAGCTGCTGGCCCTGACATTTCTGCCAAAAATGTCAATTATGAATCTATTAATTTAATTATTTATTTATCTTTTGGATAAAAAAAACAAAACAAAACATAAATACAAAGGATGAATGACATGTGAACAGAAAACTAAAGTATCACATCAGATTTGCATGTTCAGAAATTCCCTCTCGTTCCTTGGGTCTTCTGTTTGCAAGCGTCTGGCCCTGGCGTTAAAACTGACCAATCAGATTGTTCCTTTGCAGTTGATTGACAGGCAGATACCAGCACTAGTGCACTGGCTTAGTCCCGCCCCCAGACCAGCTGTGTGCTCAGCGCTGACCCTGGCCCTGTCCTGTCATCACTGCACTGGCCACCAGCAGGCGCCACAGTGTTTGTTTGACTAACAGTAGCTTCGTCTGAGTTTCACTTTGTCGGGGTTTGAGAGGAAAAGATAAAAGTATAAATAATGGGATTATTAGAGGAGCAGTTTATGTTTGTTTCCTAAGTTAATCGCCCTGAAACGTTGAGAAGAACATCTAAAACAACCATAGTACAGGCAAAGGATTCACCGCCACATGGAGCACAGAATAAATGAACCAGAACTATTCATCTAATCAATGATGTAATTGTGTCCAGTTGTTGACGCTGATGTGTGCGTGTGTGTTCTGACTTGGCGCGTGCACCGTGTGGTCGGTCAGCTGGTACATTGTGATGGGTTTTTAATGTGTTCAAGCAGAGAGTGTAACAAAAGCTTTCAGTGTTATGGAGGATCATGACAGTGCATGTTCTACATGCAGTAAAACGCACAGGCTCAGACTATATGTGTTCAGACTATATGTGCACAGGCTGTATGTGCTCAGGCTGTATGTGCTCAGACTGTATGTGCTCAGGCTGTATGTGCTCAGACTATATGTGTTCAGACTGTATGTGCTCAGGCTGTATGTGCTCAGGCTGTATGTGCTCAGGCTGTATGTGTTCAGACTGTATGTGCTCAGGCTGTATGTGTTCAGACTGTATGTGCTCAGGCTGTATGTGCTCAGGCTGTATGTGTTCAGACTGTATGTGCTCAGGCTGTATGTGCTCAGACTGTATGTGTTCAGGCTGTATGTGCTCAGACTGTATGTGCTCAGGCTGTATGTGCTCAGGCTGTATGTGCTCAGGCTGTATGTGCTCTGGTTGTATGTGCTCTGGTTGTATGTGCTCAGACTGTATGTGCTCAGGCTGTATGTGCTCAGGCTGTATGTGCTCAG